TTGAGTGGGCATCCCCCCTCCCGCGATGAAGAGCACGTTCTTATATTTCTACCTTTAGAACGACAAAAACGGTAAGGCTGAAGTGCTAAGTGTTTGAAGGGATGAGGCATGCAGCAGCTGTAAGCGTCAGTTACTGCTGTTGTGGGGCAGGGGGCCCTCCATCAGCTGCTGTTGTACTACAGCTGCAGCGGCTTGCATCTGCTTCTCTATCAGCTGCATCAGATAATAGATACGTAGAAGGACCCAGATTTTTATGTTATCCATTCCTCGGTTCCAGCAACAGCAGTATAGGTAACCCAGCGGCAGAAGCAGAAGACTAAGTGCCTTGGGGCTGGGCCAAAGAAGCCTGCAATGCCTGCAGTGCCCACATAGATCTTCACTGAATCTGCACTCATGAGTACCGATTTTAACATGATGATTAGTGGATGCTCAACATTAATTTTATTATCTACTCAGTCTTGCAAAGTGTGCGAAGGGACGACGTTTTTCATGAGATGCTGGGGGGCCCCGAATGGACGTGTAGAACAGCTCCTGCTGAGACGGCGACCGTGTGCAGAACATCGGCTGAACACGTTCCGAAACCATTATTTATACTTACAAGCACTTAAAGAAGCTTCTGAGTATCACTGCGTCGCTTCTTCTCCCTTGTAGTGCTTAGAAGTCACGATCGAGCCTCGACACAACGCAGTCAGCGGTGGCATCAGTAACCACCACATGAAAGCTAATACTTAAAGCGGGTGGCGTCTCAAGCCGCTCAAGCATGCTGATGAGATTGAACATGAGTAGAGAGATGGTTTCTTCGGGGCCGCAAGACGGGTCCCCGCTGGAAGCTCCTGTGTCAGCAAATGGGTTCCTGCCTGTCAGAGGGCCAGATTTCTTGGCAGCTTACCGGCACACACAAATCCCGCAGCCTTTAAAGAGAACAGACAAGAGTTTTTTTCAGAGTCAGCTACTGAACCATAAGAAGCCGCAGCAGCAGCAGCAGCAGCAGCAGATAGAACGTCACATTGTTAGGCCAACAGTTATGCTGACCCAGAAATATCAAGAACCGCTACAACAGCCGCACCTCCGGCAATCAGTCAGATACAGTCAGTCTACTTATCGCCATGGGGCCTGCAGCCGCTCGAATTCTTCCTTCGCGACTACAGAAGAACGCAGCCTCTCCCAGAATGTGAGCGGAAAGCTCCCCACGCAATATTGCAGTAAGGGAGCCGCCCGCTGTGTCTGTCATTCCGTAGCCCAAGCTGCCTTTACTAGTCCTACATTTAACAGAATCAGCTATCGCAGCACTCGCAGCAGTCTGGGACCAAGTCTGGTTGACAGCAAACGGAACATAATCCCCGACTTGAAACTCAACGTCTCAACGGTTGTGGATGCGTCGGGTGACCTTGCAGCCCCTCCAACAGTTTCCCCCTCTGCTTTCGCCGCTGTACCTTCGACAACCCTTTCAGTCGGAGGCGAGTCGTGTACAGACTGGGGCACAATATCAGCGGATGATAGCTCCTGTTGCAACGGCAACGGCAGCAACGTCTATGTCGCAGTTAGAGTCCGTCCTCTGAGCGAGACAGAACGCATACAAGGCGATATGAAGATTGTTTCTGTCTTAGACAGTCGATCGCTAACTGTTACTGAGGTAGGAGCAGAGGGGGGCCCGCGGGGCAGGCGAGTGAAAAAGCGGTACTTCTCATTTGACTCAGTGTTTGGAGAAACAACTGACCAAGAAGAAGTGTTTCAAGGGTGCACTCTGCCTCTTCTGCATGATCTGTTGAAAGGAATAAACGTTTCTGTTTTCGCCTACGGAGCAACAGCTGCTGGAAAGACACATACTATGCTAGGCAATGAAGCAGCACCTGGAGTTATGCCTAGGGCTCTACAGCTGCTCTTTCAGCAGGTGGAACATCTCTAAGCTCACTCTGTAGATCCTACCAGACAAATTGAATTATATTTTGGTAGCTGGTGACCTTGTGCTTCCTGAAAATGCGTCCCTTTTTTGAAAAATCGGTTGAAAAGTTTGGCTGCTGACGCAAAGCCGAGTGAAAAGATGCAATGAAGCTACATAAGCGAAACATACAGAGAAAACGCGCATATTTTCCCAAGGAACACCATAAAGTTCAGTCAGATCTTTTGTCAAGTGTCCTTTCACTTCTCCCAGTCAAGGCGTCATGTCGGAAGTTGTCGCAGCCCAACATTTTTAATCAGACAACAAACGGCACTGCGACAACGTCTCACATTGCTCCAATGCTCGCAATGTCCTGCGCACGATGAATTTTTCTTAGGTCTGCGATGAGAAAGAAAGGGAGTTTTCACTGAGCTGCTCCTTTGTAGAGATATACAACGAGACCATTCGAGACTTGTTGGGGTCCCGGACTGACGTGTGTGAGCTAAGAGAAGACCCGGAGAAGGGCGTAGTCCTTCAGCACGCCACTATCCACAGATTACGTTCGAAGCAGCACGCGTTGTTGCTTCTATTGGAAGGGAACGATAAACGGACACAAGAGGCAACAAACGCGAACCAGACGTCATCCAGATCTCACGCCATTCTACAGGTTAGCTAAGCAGAAGTCACCTTCGTAACTTTTCAGCACAAGTCGTAGGTGTTTATCCCCATGCACGTATTCATTTTCGTGTCAACGAAGTCCGTCCAGGTTCTAAGCGCCCAAGGTACTCCAACTAGACCTCCAATTCGCAATTAGGCCTGTTCCAATCTTAACAAACCCGGAGATCCCAAGACCGGCCGCCGTTGCCTCTGCGTTTGTTGGTCTTCTTCTGGTATACACCTGTATATGGCATTAGTTCGGATATCATGTGGATCCAGAAGCCCTTATTGGTATGTGCCCATGTGAATTCTCCACCGTTCACTGCAGGTAAATATCTTGGCTCGTGACAAATCCGGCGAAGAGAGCCAGCTCGCAAAGCTGTCGCTGGTGGACTTGGCAGGAAGTGAACGAGCCTGTCATACGAGCAACCACGGACAACGAATGACGGAAGGTACCTTCCAGCCCTTAGATATATATTCACTTGGATATTATTACTTTGCCTGAAATGTTTTCTGTTGTTACCTTGGCATTTGCCATCTGTTTACCCTCAACAATTAGTCAAGGGAAGCAGCAAAGATTAGGATGGAGAGCCTTGCAAGAACATTCATAAGCCTTCAATTGTCTTTTCCTATCTCTGGAGGAACCGCTAAAGACTGCGCAGCTTATCGTGTTGAATCCACATGTGAATTCCACTCCTTAAATGCTTTTGTGAAGACAGAAAATTAGTTTTTTCTCCTGCTTTCTTCTCAGGCGCAAGTATCAACAGGTCCCTACTGGCTCTAGGCAACGTTATTAACGCGTTAACAGTGAAGGGGAACGTCTCTGGAAAGCCATCTCTACGGTTTGTTCCCTACAGGGACAGCAAACTTACGCGGCTTCTTAAAGATAGTCTGGGAGGTCGCTGCCGAACAGCCATGGTGGCGACAATATCCCCAGCCATAAGCCACCAGGAAGAGACACTTAACACTTTAAAGTATGCGAAAAGGGCCAAGGCGATTCGCAACTCCTCCGACCGAGCCCGAATCACCAGACTGCAGGGTCGGGAAGCACCAAGCGAGTCTGCCGCTGTGGCTGGTCTGAAGGCCAAGCTGCACCAGCTCCAGTGCCAGATAAGTCGTCAGGTAAATACTCTGGTGATAATTATCGTATTAAGAGTCGCAGCTAATGAGTTGCTCCCTGCAAGCCGCAGATTCCTGCCAACCCCGCACTAAACAAGAGCGCCATAAGCAAGGGCTGGTGGCGTTGAGCTTACGTTATACGCTTCAGAAGATGTGCTAACAAACCCAAGACCACAAATTGTAGACGAAAAGGGCTCATGAAAAATACTCAATTCCAGCGTGCCATCCATTCTTGGACTGTGTCTGAATTTTGATTATGTGCGTGGAGAGTTCACCAGATTGCTTGGTTCCTAGACATTTTGAGCATTTGCCTGCCTGTTGGTTGTTCTGGAACTCTGTAGGCAAGCAGTCCCTCAGCTGAGAGTCGCTTTCTCTGCCTGGTACAGGCAAGCCCCATACAGGGATCAGAAAGAGGGAAAATAAAATGAACAGCCATTCAGAAGACACGTTTGTAGAAATGCTGATGTGTATACGTGCTAATGCCGGGTTTAATTATTTTTCATTTTGCACGAGAGTGTGTGCAAATAGCGGCGCCATCCACAAAATTGGGATCCATTCCTCCGTCTGCATTAATATGTTAATTTGTATGCTAATCTGTGTTGATCGGTGCGTATGTTGGTCTGTGCGGGGACGCGCACCAAAGCCTAAAGAAGCACATCTGCAATAAGGCACATAAAATGTTTGTTCAGCAGAATAAGTGTCAAATCCTTCTGTTCTTTCAATATTAAAAAATACAGTATGGTAGAAGTGAGTGGAGGCATGCTCACTATCATATTCAAATAAGGGTTTGTGTACAAGTATTTGTCTCTGCTGGCACACAGAACTGTGCACATACTCTTAATCAATTTGTTTCCATGTACCTCAGGTGTTTTCTGTGAATTTTAATCTCTGCTCAATTATGTCGCCTTCCATTGCAACCCGTCTGTTGTGAGGAAGGCTCGCATTGGGTAAGGATCCAACCGCTCCATGCTGCTGTTTTTCTGTGTTGCCCTGCATCTTCAGGATCTGCATGAGAGACTAAATATGAGAAAGAGACTTCATGCTGGTCAAATTATGTCATTGCTAGATGCTTCCGAGGAGCCAGAGGCACGCCAAGGCCTAAACACTGAGCTGTAGATTGCCTGGCTTCGGTTGAGAAGCCTGTATTCTTTGTTCCTATATTTTTGTTCCCTTGCATATTCTTCTTTGCGTTCCAGCGGCTTTGGGCTTATAAGAAATGTCTAATGAGAAGTTGAGCCGAAAAGCTGTTGCGTTTATGCTCTTTTCCCCCGTGTGTTGCGTTTGTTTTGTCTTCGGCTAGCCATGCATCCGCTTATGAGTCACGCTTACGCGTGTTGTGGGTGAGATGCAGCCTACCGCCACCGAGCCGCAAATCTCCGAAAAAGTGCCTAACGGGGAATTGACGGCTGCGGGGTCTCAGGCGGCTGCCCATGCGGTGAACCTTCTATTTGAGGACATAGATGCGCTAGCCACTGAAAACGCACTCCTCACGGTAAATGATTCTTTAAGGAAAAGAAGACAGAGCGTCTACATGCTGTGTTTTACGCTCGAGCCTCAAAAGCTCAGCCTGGAATATTTTTCTTGAGAAGGCTTGCATCGAGGCTCATAAGATAATCATAGGCTTCCCGTGGAACACAAAGTCCAACACAGAAGCAGAAAGGCAGCATCAGACTGAGGCGTTGAACTGTAGCTGTCGGCAGATATGAAAATCAAAATTGAAAGCCACTGCAACATATCGTGTATGCCCTTGTGTGCCTATAAGCATGTGTACGAGACAGATAGGCGCTAGTTCCATCCAGTGACAGATGATTGCGGACGTTGTGCCCTCAGGAACAAGTCGCAGCTCTTCAGGCAAGCTTGCGGGAAAGCGGAGATCGTTTTGCTTTCCTTCAGTCGTTAGCCCAGCAGCAGCAGCAACAAAACCGATGTGAAATTGCAGCTGTAGATTCGAAAGGTTTCTCTTTGTTAGCAGCTGCAGAAGACGACAAGCTCAGCTGGGCAGACGTGGCAGCACCAGTCACTCAGGACGCCGGCAGCAGCGATCGAACTTTAACGGGCGACAAAGGGTTGCAAGTGCTGCTCCGCATGCGGCCACTAAACCAGTTGCAGCACATCCATCAGGCAGAGGAGGACTTCGAAGTTCCCACTGAGGAACAGGAGCTTGAGGACGTGGAAGCCAGCAGTGAGAGGCAGCAGCCGGAGCAGCCAATAGCACTGCAGCCGGAAGGGCTGGCGCGTAGCAAAGATACAATGCACTTCGACCAGTACTTCTCCCCACAAAGTGCCAGTGCCGCAGAGGGAAGCCCCGCAACAGCAATAGCAGAAACAGCAGTAACTGCAGTTGTTACTAACGGACCCGCTGAAGAAGCTGCTACCAAGTCTTCCGGCATAGCCCGCTCCCTTGGGCTGAGCCCCTTTCGCTTCTTTGGAAGAAGCGGCGCCTTGAGCAGGCTGTACGGCACAACGCCTATCTCTAAGGCTGCTGTATCGCCAGCGGTTCCTCCCGTTGCTGCTGCGGTTGCTGCTGCCGGCACCTACGGATTTGGCTGCAAAAGCCCCATTGATGGATAAATTGCTTGTGCTTAAGAGACCGGAGCAGTTTGTGGATGCATGAGAAGTGATTGACGGAAGGCAAATAGTTCAGACTACCGATGCATTTAGCCAGCTGTTTCTGTCATTCAAGTGTAGACAATGCAGCTGCCTGAACCCTACATAATGTGCCGAAGGCTCTGGCTGTCGAATTCCGGAAACTAGTGCTACAACTGTTCCTCCCCTCTGCATCTGTCAGTCACCTTAGCAACAGTTTGTCTGAGGTTCGGCTGTGTGAAGAACTGCCCCGCGAACTGCAAGAGCTGTCCCTCATGCAGCCTCTGGTTCTGCTGCAGCCGTTGTTGGTGCTCCAGTACAGCGCCGAGGAATACCAGTATCAGTTCACTTAACTCAGGATGAGCTGCAATGTACCTGCACAACAAAAAGGAGCGTCTCATCTTGCGCTCTTCACTTTCACTGCCTCCACGATACGCAATTATTACGTAGTTGCACTTGTCACCCTGCCCACCTCCACACTCTAAGATAGCTATGTGGCTAGCTTCTCTACCCAGCTACTTTGGCAGATCGGTAGCTATGTGTCGAGGTGTCTTGTGCAAGTGATTTGCAGTTTTCTTGGCTTTTTACTGTAGGTTACTGGGCCTTCCAACCCCTGAGTCCTAATCAAAATGATACGGCTGCTAACTGGTTCGTCACGCGATATACATGCGTTGAACAGTAGACAAAACTAGGGAATTGAAAATGGGAAAGGGTGTAATATTGCACTCTTCGTTTTCCAGTCTGAGTCTAATTTCATAGTCCTTCAGAGCCTGTAGCTGCTCTGCACAGGGAGTAGACCGTTGCGGCGGGATTGGCAGCTGTGGCTGTTGATTCTGCAGATCAACGCCAGTAGGAGGTGATGCTTCTGCTACTAATCCTATCGCTGGTGAAGGAAGAGCAGGACTGCCAGCCTGCCAATCATCATTCCCCTTTGGTGAAGCCCCTTCATGAAGACGCACAGGCGAAGAGTTAGACAGACTCATTGTACTCGTGTTCTCAATACACCACAAGCCCCGTGGAGTAGCTGCCGTTGAAGGGGATACAGTTGGGGCTTCTCGGCATACCGTTGCCTTACTGCGAAACCGGGAGGGTTGCCGGTGAGGCAGGCACGAAGCAGAAGTTGCTAAACAGCAAAGGAAACAACGTAGCACAAATTAATAAGCCTGCTAAGTGTGTCTTAGTTGGCTAGAGGGGTTCAGAACGCGAAACGCGGATGAAGAGAACGCACAGCTCCTGCTCCCTGCTCATCGGGTCTGCCCCTTTGAAGGACCCAAGCCCTGCATTCCAGAACCTAAATCCTGCACCCTACACTCTAAGTCCTGGACAACAGAAACATGTCACGTGGTGAAATGTTTTTTTTCCTTGATAGTGTTCGGTGTTTAAGGTGAAAGGCATAGTGCAAAGTACGAACATGTCGGCGCTGCAGTGAACTTGAAGCAGGCCCAGCCCGCCTGCGGCATTTCGAGACATGCATCTTTATTGCCACTTGTCTTCCGTTTACGTTAGCCTTTCACCGAGGGCATACGTCTTTGTTTCCAGTGCGTCGTCTCTTGATCTGTTTCCCCCTTGGAGCTGTCAACCACACGAGGATTGAATGCGAGCCCTGTGACAGTGCCGGATACGCTGAAGTCACAGTTGACGCTCCCACGCATCATCGAGGAAGCACAGACGGCCGATGCCGCTGACTCGAGCTCTGCGAGCTAGGGGAATCGCTGCTCCGTGCATCCCCGGTAGCAGTTACAGCTGCGGCGACTGCAGCAGCTGCAGCAGCTGCAGCAACACATTTCTGCGCAAATTTAACACCAGCGCCCACAATAGTAGCAGTGAACGGAAACAATGTAGTAGTGGTACTACAACTGCTACCAGTGACTCGTGGAGGGGAACGCATAGACACCATCAACACCATCAGCGGTGGCAGAAGCATCAACAACAGATCCGCAACAAAGAACAGCAATTACTGAGTGCAGCAGCTAAAAGGTGGCAGCAATTGTGGCACGCGGGTAACCCCCACGCTCCGCAGCCTTTTAACTCAGTTAACAACAGTAGTAACAGCTGCAGCGGCAGAACCAGCGGCACAGAGTGGTGGACAAGCCGCAACAGCGGCAACAGTGGCTGCAAAGATGTAGTTCACGTCGTTCTGCTAAATCTTGGCTCTCCCTTGAGGCCGACATACACAGCAGTGTGGAGATACCTAAAGCGTGAGCTGCTGCATCCCTGTAGCAAGGGCTGCTGTATGCACGTCGATTTGTTGTCGCTACAGCATCTTTTAGACTTAATGCATCGACATGTGCCTTACGAAGTCAGCACAAAGACAGATTCTCATGAGATTCCAGGGCATTTGAATTTCTCTTACTATCCCTGCTATACTGCTGCTGTTGCACTTCCGACTGTCCGTGCTGCTGCTGCGCTGCAGAGTTTCTGGGTGACCGGCGCGTTATAGAACTTCCTCGGCTATTTTGGCTACCGTTGCTCCATCTCATTATTCTTCCCGTCCGATCTTGTATGTATTTGCAGCAGTATGGCGGGAAGTATCGGCGGCAGCAGCAGCAGCAGGAGGGGCAACGCTAGATATTTTGTGTGCGTACTCTGTATGCAGGGCTTTCACAGAGGCGGTACGCGTCCGTCTGGCTTTCTCCTTCTGCTGTTCAGAATCGACTCTCGAGCGCTGCTGCTGCCTTGCAGGAACGGAAACAGCTCTTGCATCAGCAGGGATCGTCTTTGCTGCTGCAGCAGCTCCAGCGCGTATTGGAAGGCGGCCCGGCTCCCCCTTTGCCGGTGTACTTATTTTCTCTTGCTGCTCGGCTGCAGCAGCGCTTGGACCTGTTGCAGAAGCAGAAGCATGAACATAAGCGGTTTGTTCCTCGCTTTGAAGTTTCAGCTTGTGTTCGCTATGGGGATCCCGATGTATCTGCTGTCCTGCAAAAGCTGCAAAAGCAGCATCAACAGCTCAAGTTGCTGTTCATACCCCTCTATCCACAGCCTACCGCTTCCTGCACAGCATCGGCTTATGATGCGGTGTTCCATGAGATAAGAAAGTGGAGGTTCGTTGCTGCTGTTGCTGCCGCTGGCGGTGTATTTGTTCCTTCTTGTTGAAATGCAACTGCTAAAGCCACGGCAGCACACTATCTGGCCTTCCAGAACTCTTCCGTTCTTTCAATGCTGCAATGAGAAAATTTTCGAACCAGGTGGCCACTGCATCAGCGGCTGCGGAAGCATCAGCTCCTGTAGCGACCTCGTGTCCGCACGGGCTGTGGCTACAACAAAGATGTATTGTTTCACCGTGCTCCAAGCTGTGCTTGCGTATGCAGGGTTATGCCAGATTTGCGGATGGTTTCGGGGTACTGGAACAATGAAGCCTACATTGATTCCGTCGCAGCATCTGTGAAGCAATTCTGGGATCAGCACGGGTGAGTGCCTTCAGTATTTGTGTGGATGAAGTAGAGGGAAAGCAGGGATCCCATGAAGTATACAAAATTTCTCCTTAACGGGAAGCACGCTCTATAGAAATGTTGCATTTGCTGTGCCATTTACTTTCATTCACGCAATTATACACTGGATGTCCTCATACCGTCTGCCCGGTGAATCACTAGGCTTCCTTTGCGGTAGAAGTTAGCGGCAAAGAGTAGCATAGGTGCAAGGTTTAACTCTTAGGACTAATCCCTAAAAATTTTTGTCTGTGCGCAGACGAGGTGATCATTTGCTATTTTCTTACCACGGCATACCGCGCGATGTGAGCTGGGCAGCTGGAGATCCGTACGCGTGCTACTGCTTCCAGACAACTCGCCTTGTGGCAGAGCGTTTGGATTTGAAGGTAACGCTCCTCACACAGCTGCTGTTACAGCGCTGTTGCTGTTTGTGGCCCGTGTGGATCTAAGGAGGCGTGTCTGCTGCTGATGCTGTTTCAGCCTGGAGAGTATGAGGTCGCCATGCAATCAAGAACGGGTTGCGCGGAGTGGACGCAGCCCTACTTTATCCCCGTAAGAATTTGGCTTTGGTTTTTAGCCGCTATCTTACATATCTCCATTGTGGTTACAGGGACGCCTTCTGATGTAGCGAATGGCCTGCTGCGGACAGCATTTTCCATTTGTCCTATCATTTTATATTAACGTTGACGGCATTCCTTTTTTCACCCCTATCTTGCTGGGTCCGTAACTTGTTCCTGGTTGTATGTGGTCCAATTTGTGTATTTATTTGTATTGCAGGCTTTGGAGGCACTTGCGAAGGCCGGCTGTCGACGTCTTGATGTGGTGTGCCCTGGCTTCGCTGCGGACTGTTTGGAGACTCTGGAGGAAGTGCAAACCGAAGCTGCCAACTATTTTGCAGGCTTTACTGTAAGTTCTACTGCTGAAATGCAGTGAAGGGCTTCGGACAAATGCATATTCCAGCATGCAGAATGGAGGTGTACATAGGTGGAAACACGCCGACATGAATTCAGAGGCTAAAAGCCAGGCAGATAAGTGCAAAAGTTCCTGTTCGCCTCACAGCATCCACATTAAACTTATCAGACGTGGACAGTATGAGGCTGCGAACATTTTTAGAGTACAGGCGCTTTGGTGGCCGCTGCTTTTGCAGGATGGACAAGGGGAGCTACGCGTGGTCCCTTGCTTGAATGACACGGATGAGGCGGTGGCTGTTCTAGAGTCTCTTGTGCTTGAAAACACCAAGCAGTGGAGGCCGAAGCCGCGCCGTTAACAAGCTTTAGACGCCTTGGTATGCATTGTTGCATGCATCGTGCCCAAAGTAGGGCCAAATAACACATGACTGAAAGGAACCCGTTCGGATTTCCCAAGACATGCAGACCTGGTCTCCTGAAGTTATGCAGTTTTCCTCGTGCTGCATTTCGAAGAAGGACGATTGACGGCGCACAGTGAGGACCTCGTGCCTTCTTAAATTGAGGGTGAGAAAGTGGGCAGGAGATGCGAGCGTCTACGGTCGATTCTGGAATCGCTCCAGTATTTTGAGTACGAATAAGGAAAGCAGCCACT